ACACAATAGGATCCACACTGGAGAGAAACCTTATAAGTGTTCACACTGTGAAAAGAAATTCAGTCGGTCAACACATCTGAAAACACATGAGATGATCCACACTGGGGAAAAACCTTACAAGTGTTCACACTGTGACAAGATATTCAATAGTTCATCAGACCTGAAAACACATGAGAGGATCCACACTGGAGAGAAACCTTATATGTGTTCACACTGTGACAAGATATTCAATAGTTCATCAGACCTGAAAACACATGAGAGGATCCACACTGGAGAGAAACCTTATATGTGTTCACACTGTGACAAGATATTCAATAGTTCATCAGACCTGAAAACACATGAGAGGATCCACACTGGAGAGAAACCTTATATGTGTTCACACTGTGACAAGATATTCAATAGTTCATCAGACCTGAAAACACATGAGAGGATCCACACTGGAGAGAAACCTTATATGTGTTCACACTGTGACAAGATATTCAATAGTTCATCAGACCTGAAAACACATGAGAGGATCCACACTGGAGAGAAACCTTATATGTGTTCACACTGTGACAAGATATTCAATAGTTCATCAGACCTGAAAACACATGAGAGGATCCACACTGGAGAGAAACCTTATAAGTGTTCACACTGCAACAAGAGATTTAATAGGTCAGGAGACCTGAAAAGACATGAGAGAATCCACACTGGAGAGAAACCTTATATGTGTTCACACTGTGACAAGAGATTCAGTAATTCATCAAATCTGAAAACACACGAGAGGATTCACACTGGAGAGAAACCGTATCACTGCACTGCATGTGGGAAGTGTTTCAATCATTCATCTGCTCTACACAGACATACAAAAAACAATCACAGTAAGGCCCCGTACACACAGAGATGCATTTAGCTGTATACGTAAAAATTTTGTATTGTATCAGCGTTTCGTCCAGACGGATCCAACGTTTTGGGAGCCTGAAACCACTATTTTTTGAAACCGAGTCCCAGAATGGATAAATCTGAAAACAACACCTTTGCATTTTGGTGTGTACAGCCAATCCATATATTTTGTGAAACGGTGAAGTCATCACCCCATGTCTTTACCCTAGTCAGACATCGCTACGTCACGTAACAGCAACAACAAAGGCGGACTGCATGCTTGTGTTCATGCTGCTGAAGCCTATTAGCGTTACTAACTTTACTAGCTTTTCTTGTTGTTGTGTTGGGTTTGTATACAGCGCGCAAGGTTTATGCGCATGCTCCAAGTCTTCTTCTCCGTTTTTAGTGTATCTTTATGTCAGAATTACAGCGCCACATACTGGTCATACAAAGATGTCTATCAATGCAAGCAAGTGTCATTTGATCAGTACTTGTCTTTTGAATATCTAGGGATTGTGCTGAAAGGTGCTCTACGCATCCTATTTATCATCATTTACAGGCCTCCAAAATGCTCTCCAGCCTTTATTGAGGAGTTTACAGAACTGTTATCAATGATTTCCTCAGAGTTTGATTTGATTATGAGATTTTAATATTCACATAGATAATGCAGTAATCAATGCTACAAAATAAATTATAATGGTTTTAAACAGTTCTGACCTGATTCAGCATGTGCATGGACCCACACACAATCGTGGACACCCTAGATTTCCTCATCAGTAAGGGTCTAAACATTTCTTCCATTGTTATTAAGGACGTTGTACTATCTAATCACTTCTGTATTTTCTTTGATATATTAATCTCTGCTACCACTGAATCTAGATCTGTCTCTGTCAGAAAGAGATGCATTAACGAGAATAGCACTAGTGTGCTTTTTATGAAGGCTATATCTTTAACACCAAGCATTTCTGTAGGCTCTGTTGATCTTCTCCTTGATTCCTTTAACTCAAAAGTTAAGAATGTTATTGATGATATTGCTCCTGCAAAAGTCATTAAGAAGACTGGCAGACAAAAAGCACCCTGGAGAAAATCAACAGCAGTACAGAGTATGAAAAGACAATGCATAAAATCAGATGTGGCGGAAGACGAAACTTGAAATTCACTTTAACATCTATAAAGACAGCCTTCGTGCTTTCAATGTGGAACTAGGCAAAGCTAGACAGTCATTCTTCTCAAACCTTATAAACAGTAACTTAAAAAACACTCGCACTCTTTTTGCTACTCTTGAGAGACTGACAAAGCCCCCAAGTCAGATTGCCAGTGAAATGCAGCAAATGCAATGAGTTTGCTTAAAGAAAATCAGTAATATTAGAAAGGCGATTAGCACATCCTTTATTTATGCAGAGGTCAGACAGATTCGACCGCAATTTCAAAAAGCAGTTACTATGTCTGTTTTTGAAGCAATTGATAGCAAAATTTTGGAAGAAATAGTACAGCAACCTGCTATCTTGACACACTCCCCACATCTTATTTTAAAAGTGTGTTAAACTGTTTAGAAGCAGATCTCTTAGAAGTGGTGAACGCCTCACTTCTCTCTGGGACTTTTCCATACTCCCTGAAAACTGCAATTGTTAAGCCCCTCCTGAAAAAGAGCAATCTTGATAACACCATATTGAGCAACTATAGACCAATATCAAATCTTCCTTTTATAGGCAAGATTATTGAAAAGGTAGTCTTTAATCAGCTGAACAAATACTTAAACTCAAATGGATACCTGGACAATTTTCAATCTGGTTTCCGACCGCATCACAGCACAGAGACAGCGCTCATTAAGATAATAAATGATATTCGCTTAAATTCTGAATCTGGCAAAATACCAGTGCTGGTACTAATAGATCTCAGTGCTGCTACAGGTCTGCTCATGTCTGAAAATAATATATGAAAAACAAAATTATTTTATATAACAAAAACATTATAGCTTATATTTGTATAGTAAATTTTTAAATTAATGTAAAAACTAAAATGAATTGTAAAACTGAAAGTTATTTTTAAAATTGTGTTCAACATGGTGGGCCACATTTGAATTCGTGACGGGCCGCGGGTTGAGAACCACTGCTCTAAGCAAACTTGTGCAATGGCCAAACTTCAGTTTGGCAATGTTGACCTATATACCATGGGTTAAGATAAGACAAATCATTATAAATCATCATTATAAAAAAAATTCAATAATAATTATAAAATAAATTATCCTCTTATAATAAAATCATTTTTTTCTGCAATTTGAAATATATTTTCTTAAAAATATCTGTAAATAGTCAGGGGAAATGTTTAATATTAACCTAATATGGGTTTATACCTTTCTGGGATGGCAATCAAATGGTTCAGGTCATACTTAGAAGGGAGAGGTTATTATGTGAGTATAGGAGAGCATAAGTCTAAGTGGACGTCCATGACATGCGGAGTCCCACAAGGCTCAATTCTTGCACCGCTCTTGTTTAGCCTGTATATGCTCCCACTAAGTCAAATAATGAGAAAGAACCAAATCGCCTATCACAGCTATGCAGATGATACCCAGATTTACCTAGCCTTATCTCCAAATGACTACAGCCCCATTGACTCCCTCTGCCAATGCATTGATGAAATTAACAGTTGGATGTGCCATTCATGCAAGTCATTGCATTTGGAAACAAAGATGAAGTTCTCAAGGTGAATGCATACCTTGACTCTAGGGTTCAAAATCAAGTCAATCAAGTCAAGAATCTTGGTGTGATTCTGGAGTCAGACCTTATTTTCAGTAGTCATGTCAATAAATCAGCACAAGATTTGGAGAAACTTGTTCATGCCTTTATCACTAGCAGGGTGGACTATTGTAATGGTCTCCTCACCGTCCTTCCCAAGAAGACCATTAGACAGCTTCAGCTCATCCAGAACGCTGCTGCCAGAATTCTGACTAGAACCAGAAAATCTGAGCATATCACACCAGTCCTCAGGTCTTTACACTGGCTTCCAGTTACATTTAGGATTGATTTTAAAGTACTTTTACTCGTTTATAAATCACTCAATGGCCTAGGACCTAAATACATTGCAGATATGCTCACTGAATATAAACATCATAGACCACTCAGATCATTAGGATCAAGTCAGTTAGAAATTCCAAGGGTTCACACAAAACAAAGGGAATCTGCTTTTAGTTATTATGCCGTCCGCAGTTGGAATCAGCTTCCAGAAGAGATCAGATGTGCTAAAACATTAGCCACATTTAAATCCAGACTCAAAACTCAATTGCTTTTAAATTGAATTGAACCGAAAGCCTTTATTGTCATTGTATTTTTCTGCATACAATGAAAGTGAATGAGCACTGTGCTACGTCCGAACTGATTGCACTGTATTTTATGTATAATCTCTTTCTATTCTTAACTGTTTTAAATCATTTTAAATCAATTTTAGTTTATTTTAAAAGTTATTTTTTTATAATTATTTTAATTCATTTTATGTAAAGCACTTTGAATTACCATTGTGTATGAAATGTGCTATATAAATAAACTTGCCTTGCCTAAATAGCATATCAGTCTGGTGAGTAAAGTAAAAAATTAACTAGCCAATGGCGATTCTATTACCAAGGTGTGCGTAGAGAGACTGACGTTACAATAGGTTTTTAGGGCAACAGTGCTGCAGAAGTGGCTCATGAAGCATATTGTCAGACTCTGATCTGAATGAGCATGTGAGCCGCTGTGCTTGTGTGAATCCATATGGAGCAGTATGTGTGATACGAGCTGGTTTATTCAGTGTCTCGGTGGGGTAGGTGAGTCGCTTGAGCTCACAGAGGCAGTCTGTGTAGAGACGTGTGAAAAGAAGATATTTTTACTGAAACACACACCATTTATCTACTGCTGCCACCTGGAACAGACACACACTCATTCTGAGAGAAACCGCGCACAATAATGGATTCAAGAGCTGAGAGACTTATTAAAATGTCTTTTATTGAAATAATTAAGCGCTCAAATGAAACACAGCTTCTTTGTATGGTTGTTTATTTAAAGGGATTCCTAAGCTTTTTTGTCAGCTGAACTCCTTCCGTAAATGTAAGTAAATATATTCTTGGAGTACCCAACGAAAATTTAAGTTAATATTTTTAACAGCTTAACAACATTTGCATGTTCACAGTTTTCCGATGCCGATTAATGGTCACATGGCAGGCAAGCAAACATATTATATT